TTCTACAATATTTAGACTGTTTCTAACTTTGATAAGTGACAAAAGTGATTCTCATCAATTACAGAATAAAACATTAAGTCATTTTCCTCCCTCATATAGACCTCTGAGCATTCCTTTGGGCTAAGCAACTGTTTAGCTCTCTGAATGATGGGTCTTGTTTTAAAACCGACACACAGGGGCGCCTGGGTGGCTCAGTTGGCTGAGCGTCCGACTTCGGCTCAGGTCACGATCTCGCGGCCCGTGAGTTTGAGCCCCGCGTCGGGCTCTGGGCTGATGGCTCGGAGCCTGGAGCCTGTTTCCGATTCTGTGTCTCCCTCTCTCTCTGCCCCTCCCCCGTTCATGCTCTGTCTCTCTCTGTCTCAAAAATGAATAAACGTTAAAAAAAAAAAAATTAAAAAAAAAAACCGACACACACACACACACACTCACAAGAGGCTTTAAGTAGCAGAAAATTCTACTTTCAAGTAGGAACATTTTTGTCAGAGCCCAACTTCTATGTATTAAAAAGCAACCATAACACACCTCTGTGAACTTCATTCACCTCCAGGTTTTATTTCACTTAAGTCATTACAATTACAGAAGACATACCCATCTGCAAATTGCAATGGCTGTCATTTAGAGTGCATCAAAACCACAAAATTGAATTCAAGGAATATCTTCATCGCCGTCATTAGTGTAGCAAATTTAATCAAAGTCAGTCAAAAGTTAACAGTGGAACATGCAGAAACACGAAACACCAAGTAGTTAATTAGAAACAACTACCTCATTTTGGGTGTAAATAATCATGTACAACCTTCATTTATGAACTAATGACTCTGTTAGAAAACTGTGCACTTCCAGTTGTCCTATCTAGCAGTGCTGATGGACCTGAGTCCAGCTTCCCATGTGACTAAAGGTCAGGCAGCCTTACCAGTGTAGCCTGTGAACTCCAGGAAGCATATTCATACCTCTAGAACCTCCCCAGGAATGACTTTACAGTAGGACCTCAAAATATGTTTGGGCAGTCAGATTCCTAAAGAGAAGCAGAGAGAGCATGGTTTTGAAGAACAAGGGTTCAAGTCAGACCGGTTTGGATGGTAGTTTTGCCTCTGCTGCTGACTAGCTGGGTAATCTGTGCATACTGTTTTCTCTCTCTGAACCCATTTGATCAAATGTGTTGGGAAAGAAGAGAAACCTCTACCTCATACAAGTGTTGTGAAAACACACTTTGCATCAATCCATGCAAATGAATTATTTGGTATTCAGTACCAAATATCTGGTATTCAGTAAGGCTCAAAAAGTAGCATATTATAGTTTAATTATTATAAAGACTGCCCAAAACAGAGACCACTCCCAAAACTTGACCTTAATTAGAACTGTCTTGAACACCAATGTTTGAGAGCTTAATTCAAATGTTGACAACCAATTTCAAAGACCTGAATGGGCTAGATCCTTTTAACCTAATAAGTAATTTTCTGTTAATTCCCAAATCCTAATTTTCTAAATGTTACCAGGCTCTTTACGTAGAAAGTCCTCACTCTCAGCTTTCATACCCACTGACACAATTGCACCCAAGCTCATGTCTCAGTATTATGAAGTAAATGTACAAACTCAAATGAGAAATGAGGCCAAACCTTTGAGTAATCCAGTCATCCATGCACTGCTCCATATGAAGGAAACATTCTAGAAACTATCAAGAATTTAAATACAAACACAAAAGTGATGTATTGTCAACAAAAGATTTCTAATGTTGAGTTTAAGATAGAAAGTAAATTGGAAAACCCCTCCAAACAAGAGTTTAAATTTAGTCTTTTAATTGCAGTATTTTCATAAGTTGAAATATGTGACCCAATTGACAACATCAGAAGATAAAGAACCTTTGAGATTCTATCTCCTCCTCTACTAAGGAATTTGAAATTGCAAACAAACAAACAAAAAAAAGAAACAAAAAAAAGAAAGAAGAAAAAAACTACCTTTGGAATCTAAAACTACCAAATTCTGAGTAAACAGCCTTTTCTACTTTAGAAAGCAACTGAATACTTAAAAATCTGCTATTCTTATACCAAAGTTAAGGGTTACCTAAAAGATTTCCCTTACATTTTGAGTGTGTGTGTATGTGGGTGGATTCATTTGTTCTAAATGCCTTATTATTTGGTATCAATTTATTACATGAAAAAGTCTCATCCCCATACTTACTGCCAAAAATAAAGTACTATGCTAGTGTACCTTCTAATATCTAGAAGAAATAAAAGAGATAACCACCAAAGTTACCAAATGGAAGGGGAAAAAAGGTGAACTTTTAACAGACACGCTGAAGAAGGCTTATTTTTCTTGGTTCACTTCCTTACAAATTTCCTATAGCCGTATTCTTAGATATAGCTGAATTTTCTATCACAAAGTAAATTGAAACGCAAATCATAATAAAAGGTTAAATTTCTGCAACAGAAGCCACTGTCATTTCCAACAATGCAACTATTGTTGACAGAGAGTCTCTCACAGATTCTTGGACACAGTGGTGAAGCAAGGCTGGGGGGAAAAAGCATACTTGAAGCAATTTCTCCACCTCTGAATTTCAGTTTGTAATGGAACAACACTGCACCTTCAAAGTAGAAATACCATATAAAATCTGGTTCTCATTAAATGACTGCTTTAACCCCATGCAGCATATTTGGAACAGAATGGATCTGATTCGCAATCAGTCAACCTTCTATTACTCATCTATGCGAGATGGCCCAGCAATTTCCCTCAATGGGAGCCTTTTCTTTTAAAACCCCGGGGAATACTGTAAATGCCACACTCCAATTTAAATGACTACAAGAAAATTACAATGAAAATAATGACAGATTTAGTCCAGGGAACTCATATTAAGTAAACATCAAAAACCTGAGATAAGGGGCAAAAAAACCTTTCTACAAGCCCCTAAATCATGACTAAATTATAAATCTGAGCAGGAAAAAAGAAATCTTCTCTGAAGAAAGAATGTTTATTTCTAATGTTTTTTAATATATCAAGTTTTGTTTCCAAAAAAAATGAGGGTTAGGAAACATGCTAAATAAGCAAAACTAGTATACAAAACTTATACACACACACACCAAATTAATCACTGTATTATGTTTAAAACACAAGACAATTTAAAAAGATTTGACACTCCAGTTGAAGACCCTCCAAACTCCTCTGAAATGGTAGATTATTTAACACTCTCGGGATGATTAACTTTATTTAGCATGCCTCTTCTGGAATTCTATTATTTAATACAGGCAAACTGAATTTTTTTTTTTTCATCCTAATTAGGTTTCCTTGTACTTGTGAAATGCTCAGCATACTCTGTGCTGGCAGCTTTAGTTCTGCAGCTTCTTTCTTCTGGCTCCTTCTCCCCCCACCCCAACACCCCTAACCCCCCCCCAAAAATATTTCCTTCCCAAATGTTCTCTTCTCTGCATTTGTCAACAGAAACACCCACTGGTGGTGTCAAACTGGTAATACTGCTGCAGGCTTCCTTACTCCTGTTCCAGTGTCAAAGCCAAAAATGCCGAAACCTAAAATAGTACTTTTAATAAAGAAATTAAAAGAATTGCTAAGGTATTCAAGTACAATGTTCTCAAAAAGAGGCACACCTTTAAAAAAAATTATTAATGAACGCTAATTGGGCTGTTAAATATAAAATTATACTCCCCCCCGCACTAAACATACAGAAACAAGTAAACACGGGTTCTTCACATTTTATGAATAAAATATTTTAAAACACTTAAATTAAAAACAAATTTACATCTAAATGTCATTCACATATAATTCCAAATAGCCTCTGTAAAGATGCTTTTGTAACCCTACAGCAAGAAAGGAACAAGCCGGAAACGTTACCTAAAACGATAATCCTATTCTATACATATTTATGTCTCTTGTTTTAGTCAAATGTTCTCAGACAAATTAATTTGTGTAATCTTTTACATTAACTACATAAGCATTACGTCCAAACAAACCTAATTCAGATTCACGGGAAGAAATTATTCTGTGTCTGCAATACTTTCTAAAATCAGCCTAAATTTCAGCCAATTAAAATAGATTGTGTTAACAGAACACTGATCTGCAACTACTTAAATATCACAGCATCCGTCTAATCTCACGGTGGAAATACTAAGGTCAGGCTTTTCTTATTCGGGCATCTGGGCTTTAACACTCAAGTGAAGCGAAGGAAAAAAAAAGAAAAAAACACCTCAAGGAAGATCTGCCTTTTTACACAGAAATACGTTCAGGTTATTTTTTTTCCCCTAACGTGGGCATAAAACGTGTCAACGCGAGCAGGACCTGTTCGTTTGGAAATGGTTCCAAACCCTAGGATTTAATTTCTATGAGGGTCCAAAGGGTACGAAGGTCTGGGAAGGGGCCAATTTCTGCTTCTCCCCACTATGCCAGTGGTGAACTTCATAGCAACGCCCGAAACTTGTTGGGAGGAAGCTGGAAGAGCCGCGGGGCAGGCGGTGGGTCACTCGCCCACCCTCGCGGTTAGCCAAGGTCAGTCAGCAGGGCCGGGGCTCCGGCCCCGGGCTCGCAGCCCCCGGCGGGTCCCCGACTCTCTCGGAACTCGGGCTGGGGGCTCCGGCGCGCAGGCTCCTCCTCGGCGCCGGCGGGAAGGGGCTTCCCTCGCCGCAAGCCCGGGGGAGCTCGCGCCGCGGGGGCGGCGGGGCGGGGACGCCGCAGACCCGCTGCTGAGGGGAGCCCCGCCGGGCGGCCTCGACCCGCCGCCCCTGCTCACATCCTCCCGTCTCCCCACACCCCAAAATACAGTCCCAACCCCTCGCTGGGGAAGCCCTTCCACTGGCGCAATGGGGCGCTGAAGAGAGGCCACTCCAAGCTGGGGCGCCCTCGCCGCGTCGCCCTGTTCTGGAGGAGACCCGCGCCACCGCCCCTTCTCACGTCTGCCCGGGGGGACCGGGTGGGTCCCCTCTCTCAGGAGAAGCTGGGTGGCGCGGAGCCAACGTGGGAACAGGAAGGCCTGGCGGGCGGGTGGCGGCGCAACTACTCACCCCGCCGAGTCTCCCACCTCCAGCCGGGGACCCCACAGCTCCTGAGGCCGCCGTCGCCGCTTTACCTTTCCCAGTGGCAGGGACAACTAATGGAAACCTCCGGCCCCGCCCTCTCGCAGAGGCGAACGCGCAGCCTAATTTGCTAACTGGCCCGCCCCGGCCGTCCCGTTCGGGCCAATGAAGAAGCTTCTAAGACTCCGCCAGGTCCCGCCTTCGCCCCGCCCACTTCTGATAGAAACCAATGCGGAGAGAGCGCTCGTCCTCGAGCGCGGGCCCGCGCGCCCCGCCCGCGCCGCTCGTGCTCGGACCCCAGAAGCCGAAGAAGGCTCGCTCCTTGTATAAACTCGCCTGAGCGCGCACGCGCGCGCCGCACCACCTCGCGGGCCAGGTTTGGTTGCCCAGCCAGGCCCTAGCAACCTGGGCTGGGTGTCTGGGAGGGGCGGGGCCCGAGCTTCGAGCGTTCAGGGGGAGGGGGGTCAGGGGGAGCTGGGTGGGGGGAGGGGGGAGAGGCGGGGAAGATCGTGACTAAGAAAGGGGCGGCTGACAGGGTGGAGGGCCGTAGAGGCCCGGGAATCCGCCTCTCACTGCGGAAAAAAAGGGGGAATCCTCCCTGCAGCTCAGCCAGCCTGGCCTCACTCCAGAGGGACACGTGCGGAGGGTTGAGGGGTCGTGGAAGAGGGGGAGAACACATTTCGGGCGGGAGCCGAGGCACTGCTTGGAAATAAAGGACGGAGGACGGTTTATCTCTGTCTTTGGTAAAAATGATATCGAAGTCTATTGCAGCTGCTGCCCAACTGTTGCAGTTGTGCGTGCACACGCACATATGCACACATTCACACATTCACACGTACACTCATCCATCAGCCTGCGATCCCTTGGGTGAATTGGGAGCAAAGAACTAGTAGCCTGAGGATTCCTTACACAGCAGCTGGATGCATGCGAACGGCTGTGGCAGCAGCGCCAGCGGCAGCATCAACCCACAGCTCTGCTTTGGTCCAATGCTCCGCCACACAAGATTCCCCAGCTGGCAATGAAGTCATCCCTCCACCGGTAGAAATGGAAAGCTCTCAATACCTACCAATAATCAGGTTTCCAATGAGGATGAAGAGGTGATGAAATGGAAGGAGATACATTTCCAAAGCCACTTTTTGAAAATTAAGAAAAATAATAATCATGTTTAAAGGCATTGTGGACAAATCTATGAAAAGCTGCATAATAATTTCCACTTAAAGCAAAGAGGGAAAATGGGGTTTTTTTCTGGTTTTTAGGAAAAGCACGGAAAATAAGTGTGTGAGGTCATAGCAGCTACCAAATTAGAAATAGATATCTTGGATTAAATCCACTTAATCTATTCCTCTCGTGAATCTGGTAACAATATGTAACAATATGCTGGTTTTGACCACTTGGTGCCAAGCCACTAGGGTTTTCTTTTTCATAACATGGTGAATATTTGATGAGGAAATGAAGGTGCCTTTCTCTTCAGCTTTTCAGGAAGCATATTAGAAATGTTTTCAGGTAGGAACAGTGAATTAGCAGTGAGGGAAAATGGAGTCAGAGGCAACAGCAGGGCTTTGCAGAGTCTCCTGCCTCCTCCAAGATGCAAGGTAACAGTGCTGTGACCTCAAGCTTCACCCATGTGGAGCCAGCATTCCTGGGCCAATCATGCCATTTTCATCCCTGAGCGTTAGTGCCTTTGTGCCAGGAATTGCAGCAACATTACTTCCGGACCAAATGAAGAGTGGTTTATCTGTGTAGGTTAAGAAAAACCAATAACCGAATATTCATTGGTAGAGGTCCAATTTAGTTCTAGGTTGTAATATTGAAAGCTTTATAATGTGCCATCCCATATATAGAACTATGACCTTCCACTTGGGGACATTTGCTTTGATCTGGTTTTGAGGAGCTGGCAAAGGGTTTCTTAGAATCACATCCAGTTCAGTTCATTTCAATTTTGATCAAAAGCGTGTATTTTCTAGGTCAGTAAGAGTTAAAAAGTACCATGTCACCATTTAACTGAGCTCCTTGTTTATGAAGAAAGAACACTAATACTTAACCACTGAATGAATGCCTGCTATGTGCCAAGAATTTTCCATACATTTAGAGTTGCCAGATAAAATACAGGAGGCCTGTTAAATTTGAATTTCAGATAAGCAAAAAGTAATTTTTTAGGGTAACTATGTATTTTTATCCTGGATATGTGTGGAACAAGGGTTGAAGACTAAATAAGCTTTCTAATCATTGTCCAAAAAAGCATTTTTGAAATTGCCCCTCTGGGCCCAGAGCTCATAATGAAATCAGGATCTGGGAGAAAAGCTTAAGAACCAAATCATTGTGCAAATGTGTAATGTTTGTAGAAAGAGGTGCACATACTTATACTAAAATTTTTTTTGGTTTTTATCTGAAATTCAAATGTAACTTGGAATCCTATATTTCTATTTGCTAAATCTGGCAAACCTACATACATTATCTCTGAGGCTTCAGATTCTCTGAAATGTTTTCTCTTAGGTCACCTTTTTCCAGATGAAGCAATAGCTTCAGAGGCTCTCCAGCATCTATTCTCTCCATCCTCCTTCTAATAGAACCCCAACAGTGTTCAGGTATCCCCACTTCCAAGGTGGTGGGTGCTTATTAGTCAGTCAATCAATGACTAGGGCCCATTTAGACTAAAGGAAAGGACTTAACATCCTATGATTTGAGGGAGAGGTTTTCCCTTCTATCCTGCTGGATGAACAAGGAAGCAAGTACCCAAGTTGCCACTGGTAGCCATTTTGTGACTAGAGGAAAACCATCCTTAGGCCAAAGCCTGTGCCCTACCTAAGGCAAAGTTGAAAATTAGAAAAAACAAGCAAAAAACCTGGGTTCTTGATGATAACACCTAGTTACTTAATTAAACAAATTCTGCCTTTTCCTTGCATTTAAGACAGTTTGAGTCAAAGTTTCTATTAGATGCCTCAAAGTGTCCCACTACAGAGCCCATGTGTGCTACTCATGATGGGTCTCAATAGTAAATAAATAAATGGCCATGAAGATGTAAGACATTTTTATCCTGGATACACGTGGGACAGGTATGGAAGACTACATAAGCCTCCTAATCATTGTCAAAAAGCATTTAGGATGATACTTACCTACCAGGGAAGATATCGTGATCACGAAGGTGGTTCTCTCAGGGTAAGTCTCATCCACTGCACTCAGGTCATTCTGACTCCAGCAATTTCCCCAAACACGGAAAACGCGACAGCAATTTCTGTTAGTGAAAGGCTACATTTGCGGGGTGGGCGGGGGGGGGGGGGGGGAAGCATCTATAAAGTGCCCCCTGGGCTTAGACTTCATAATGCAAGATCTAGGAGAGGTGCGCCTGAGTGGCTCAGTCGGTTAAGCCTCTGACTTCAGCTCATGTCATGATCTCATGGTTCAAGAGAATCATGTCAGGCTCTGTGCTGACAGCTCAGAACCTGGAGCCTGCTTCAGACTCTGTGTCTCCCTCTCTCTCTCTGCCCTCCCCGGCTCACGCTCTGTCACTCTCTCTCAAAAATAAAAAATTTTTTTAATTAAAAAAAAAAGATCTAGGAGAAAAGCTTAAGAATCAAGTCCATATGGAAGCACCTGGGTGGCTCAGTTAAGCATCTGACTTTGGCTCACGTCATGATCTCACGGTTTGTGAGTTCGAGCCCTGTGTCAGGCTCTGTGCTGACAGCTCAGGGCCTGCTTGGGATTCTCTCTCTCTCTGCCTCTCTCTCTCAAAAATAAATAAACATTAAAAAAAAAAAGAATCAAATCAATGTGTAAATTTCTAGTGTTTGTAGGAAGGGGTGAGCATTAGTTTTTCCTTGGCCCTAATCAGAGCTTAAATCAGTCTGTCAGATCTTACATGTTTTCATTTAAAGTTCATGCCATTTGAGAAAATGTCATTTTAGAAATGCGAGTCCAGTACCTCATTTTAAACTATTAAAACCTCTATCCCTATCCTCCAGGCACTAAGTTTAACCACAAACAGTGTAGAAAGAACAGAAATGTCAGCCTCAAAAGACCCAAGAGGGAAAACCACACCAGAATAGAATACCATATGAAAGTGGATGGTTGGCAAGGCAGTGTAGTTTAGTGGCTAAAACCATAGACTTAGGGAGCCAGATTGCTGTATTCAAATGCCAGCTCTAGTTATGGCCTTGGGCAAATTATTCAACTTCTTTGTGCCTCAGTTTCTTCCTCTGTAAAATGGGGTGATAATAATAGTTCTCACCTGGTATATCTGTGTGAGTGACTGTTTGTGAAATGCTTAGAGTACCTGGTCCATGGTAAGGATTTTATAAGGATTAGCTGTTATTGAGCAGGCTCAATTCTGTGGAATATAAACTTGAAGCAGTTTATTTTTCTCCAATCACTACTTTGAACCATGTATTTTTTATGTATAAGTGACATATAATATCCCATTAGTTTCAGGTGTACATCATAGTGATTTGATATTTTGATACCTTGTGAAATGATCACCACAATAAATCTAGTTACCATCTGTCACCATACAGTTATTACAATATTTCTAGGAGATATATATATGTATTTCCTATGCTGTACATTACATCCCCATAACTTATTTGTTTCGTAACTGGAAATTTGTCCCTTTTTTTAAATTTTTTTAACGTTTATTTATTTCTGACAGACAGAGAGAGACAGAGCATGAGCAGGGGAAGGGCAGAGACAGAGGGAGACACAGAATCCGAAGCAGGCTCCAGGCTCCGAGCTTTCAACACGGAGCCCAACGCGGGGCTCGAACTCACAGACCGCGAGATCACGACCTGAGCTGAAGTCGGACGCTCAACCGACTGAGCCACCCAGGCACCCCAGAAATTTGTCCTTCTTAATCCCCTTTCCTATGTCACCTAAGAATCATGTTTTTATGGTAAATTTGCCTTTCATGACCCTTCGCATGTCAGATGGTTTTTCTGACTTTTTAGGTCTTTTTCAGCTATTAAAAATCAACCCAGTTTAAAACTCGAATGTTACGTTTTCTTTAAATTTCATTTCCCCCACCTGTTTCCCACCATCATCACCTGCCAGGCTTGTGACTCAAGGCACCTGAAGTGACCAAGGGCCGTGGCCAGCCCTTTCAC